TTTACACTTTTTTGTTTGCTTTGTTTCTATTTTGGGTCCCCCCCAACAGTTATAGCAATCCTTTTATTTTGTGCTGTGCTCCACAAGACTGGACCTACCCCATGGCTTTTCACGCAAAGCCAAAGGTAATGCTCTCTTCGTATAAACCTTAGAAGTCGCGATTCTGTAACACTAATCTGTCCTCTTTAGGCACCACCACATTTATGGATATATTTGCAGCAAAAGTAAGTGTCTGGGCACAAACACTCTCTGTCATATGCATAGCTATATATATCTGTGAGTGGGCTCCCCCTCTGCCTCCCCTAGCTGTCCACTCTGTGTGTCCGTCTCTGCGTCCACTTGCAGGTCACTGTTCTGGTGGGATCGTGCAAGCCCTGGTCTGTCCCTGTGCTGCCTTTAGCTAGTGCATTTCTTCCAGTGTCTCCACCAGGAGGCAGGGGTTTCTCCCGCCGGAGTGACCAGAGGTGTCCCTCCCATGCCAAGACCCTGGACACCCAAGGCCACCTCAGCCAGTGTGACATAAGAGCGATGCAGCAAGCAGAAGGGCACCAGCAGCAGGCACGGAGGTCGCCCCATTTGACCTCCCCAAACCTGTTCTCCACAACGAATGAAGAAAAAAGGACCCGTTCCCCCACGGAAATCTCTTACGTGTCGAATGATTCCATCCACCGCGCCTTGCTCTGTGCTCACCTCCCCATGATCCAGGGTCACTGAAGTAGAGGGTGTGGGCATGGTGGGAAGGAAGTAGAGTGTGTGGGCGCGGTGGGAAGACAATAAAATCGTGCCCGCCCAGCTACCACAGGCAACATCATGGTAAATGGAGCAAAGATAGACGTGGTCACGGAGGTCATCTGGCTGGGCTCCACAGTCCATGTTCCTGGGCGCACCCGGGCAGAGACGGAGCAACACTCGGCCTTGGGCCGGTCTGCTGCACAAGCCTCTGTGCAGGGTGGAGAAGCAAGGAAATCACTCTTGAGGACTGAGGTGCCCCTGCCCCATGCCAGGGTATTCTCAATCCCCTCCCAGGCATGTGAACGCTGGATATCGAGTGGGAAGCCTGAAGGAGACTCAATGCGTTGAAAGCCATAGGACCGGGGAGAGTACTGACCGTGCCACGGACTGCCAAAGGGACAAATGGCCATCCTGGACGAAGCCGCCAGAATGCTCCTTAGAGAGGTGAGGGCAGCACCTTGGTGACAGGGAGGGGCGGCGAAAGAGAGGGAGACCGTCCATGAAACAGATGGACACGGTGGCTGCAGTCGTGGCTCAAAGGGGACAAGGATCGGAGGCTGGCATGGGCCGGGCAGGGCTTCCTTCTGCTGCCCGGCACGTCCAGCTCGACGGCATCTCACAAAGACCACGTTCGGGGCGGCGCGTGTGTGGTCTGGACGGCTTGCAGATAGCGAGCAGCCGTCTAGGGTGCCGACGACAAAGCCTCCTGGGAAGAGAGGCGTCTCTGAGGTGTCATCGTTGAAAAAGAGAGGGAGCATTCCCAAGCGTGAGGCCCTTGGCGAGATGGGGCTTCTGACGAAGCTGTGGGTCAAATTCCAGAGGAGGCCAGATCCCTTACTCTTACTCTGGACACTTGTTTCTGCCTCATACGAGTGCGTGTGTGGCCGGATGGAGTTTTGTTTACAAAACACGCAGATTGGCGTTAGGTAAGACCAAGGGATGCAGTCTTCGCAGGCGCCCGCTTTGCACAAGTGTTAAGCATGTAACTTCCGTGCCTAAGCCAACTCTGAGAAAATGTCCCCTTCTCTTTCCCTCAAAAAATCTTTTTCTCAGACACCCTTACCACACTTTGTACTTTTCCATAACTTTATTCAGCCTGAACCCAAGAGGACCCCCCAAAAGAAAGACAAACACCCTCACACTCACTGCCATCGAGGCCCCCGCCAATAGTCTGGGTAGGACTGTCCTGTGTGCATCCGGGATGGTGGCTGTTTATGGGAGTAGAAAGTCCCATCTTTCTCTAAAAAGCAGCGAGTGGCTTCTAACGGCTGACCTTGCAGATCAGGGCCCACCAGGGCTTTTAACCCCGCTTCATACTTAGGATCAGTCAGCTACTGGCCCCTCATCCATGTCTTAGTGCACCTTCGGCAGGTGTGAGCAGCCTTTGTACGCGAGCAGCTCCCCGGAGCACGGTTGCCTCGCTTTGGAAAATGCCCTTTTGCCGCCGCAGACTGTTTTAACCCTAAACAGACTTGGAATTCTCTGTCCACAGCAGCGTCAAGGGCCTTATGTTCCTCCAGCGGATTCTCTGGGGTGAGCCCCCTTCGCCTGGACACCTGTGCAGCACCAGAGTGAGGAGGCAGCCTCCACTTATGCCCGGTGGAGGCCATGCTTGAGGCGCACTGGCGGGGGTTGTCCCCAGGGGAGTTGACGATTCCACCATTGAACCGCGACTGCCTTTGCGTTAAATAGTCCCTTCCTCACCCTTTAGCTAGCGTGGCACTAACCTACGAGAGATGCCGCCCCTCACAGCGCCGGCACCTCCAGCTTGCCCTCTCCTTACTGAGAGCTAGGTGATGGGAGAGGAGACTGCGTGCGTCACTGGCAAGCCCGGCCAACAGCAAAGAGACTGCTCCGGTGCCCTTCCAAGCTCTCTCCCCTCCCTGCCATGCCCCATGACCAAGATCTCCAGGGCACCTTTGCAGGTGGGTAACAGAAATGGAGAGAGAGATCCCACACCCAGGCTCCACACAGGTGCTCTGGGGGCAGGTGAGCTGCAAGCATTAAGCGGGGTGGCACTGGCCACGGTTGATTGTGGTCAGGTCAGTGGCTGGTGTTTTAGGACACACACCCATGAGGGGGGTTGCACATATGGCTTGGGGTTCCGCTCCAGGCTGGCTGTGACGAGGACCTAGCGGCTGAGGTGCCCCACCCCCAGGTAAGGGGTCTTATGGGGCCCCTACCAGGGTCTCGGGGGTCTTCCCAAGAGGAATTTCCTGCTGTCTACGAGAGCCCCCGTGCTGGAGGTGACAGGACAGAAGGAATCCATCCCCTGGGGTCACGAGAAGGGCCGGAGGGAGCAGCGCTGGGGACTTGGTGTCTGTCTGTGGGTGGGTGAGGGGAATCACCTGCCCAGGGGTGCACAGACATGGGGTTCAGTGAGTTCTGGAGAGGGTGGGCTGGGGCAGGATCTCCAGTACAGAAGTGGGGTGGAAGGCGCTCAGTCGGCAGGTTGGGGTTTGCCACTTGCATCTGGCTCCCTGGGGTTTGGGACGCCCGGCTGGACCCCATTCTATGGGCACAGGAGGCGGAGTGAGGAACTGCGGGGACCCGGGAAGCAGTTGGGTGCAGAGGGGACGTTCTGGGAGCAGAGGCACTGCCCGGGGCCCAGGACAGCAGGACAGCCCAGCAGGGCTGCAGGGCGGGAGGAGGATGGCCACACAGCACCGAGCCATTCCCGGTCAAGATCACGAATCCCAGCTGGCCTCGGGAGTGGCTCGGGTCCTTCGTTCAAGGCTATTTCTCCGAAGGGGCAGTGCCGCCCCAGCCTTGCCAGGCCCGCGACCCCGCCCTGAAGGGAGGGGACTCCAGCGGGCACACCAGGAGCCTCCACCACCACTAGCCTAGGCGTCCCTGAGGGACCCTGGGGGAGAAGGGGCCGGCCGACTCTAGACTCCAGGCCCAGAACCCCCGCCTTGGCTTGGGAGTAGGGGCGGCTGAGGGAGGGGGCCTGTGGCTGGGAGGAACAGTGAAGTGACCAGGTGGGAGTCTAATGACCAGCAGTGGGGTGCCCAGGGCATTTATTTGCCCACATGCCCTGAACTGACACCCCAAGTGTAGGTGGGTGACAGTGAGGTGTCTCCAGAAGGCCCTGACTTCCCAGGGTTCCTGGTCAGTCAGTGATGTAGGGCAGCTCGCTGGGAGACAGCCTTGGGCAGAAAGGGCTGTGGGAGTTGCGGAGGGGCTGGCTGAGGGAGTGCCCAGACACCATGGGGCTTGCTCTGGGGGCACCCGAGGGAGCAAGGGGTGCCAGTACCCAGAGTGCCCTGTACCCTCCTGCCCACACAGAGACCACCTGAGGGTGCCAGACAGGCCCCTGGGACAGAGGAGGCTGGGCAGGGAGGTGTGACCGGCAGAGGAACTGGCACTGAGGGGAGCGGCCAGCAGGAGGGGCTGGAGGCCCAGTGGTTGGGAAGGTGCTCTGGCCGGTTCTGAGAACCCTTGGTCCCAAGCCAAGAGAATCAGTGCCTAGTTCCTTTCTCCCCCACCGAGACAACTGGCCGTGGCCCTGCCTGTCATTTGATGTCATCCCTGACTGGGGTCACATGGTCAGTGCCAGGTCCTAGGTGGCAACCCCCACTTCGGGGAGTTCTGAGTGCAGCTCCCTCCTATCCTCTGTTATTACGCCCGTCCACCTTTCCTGCCCTCCACCCCCTACTCTGGCCCTGGCGGGCCCTGGTTGGTATTTCCGGGAGGTCTGCCGGAGGGGCTCCACCCCGGGGGCATCCTGGGAGCAGGTCCCCGTCCCCTGCGGAGCGGCCTGGGCCCCGAGGTGCAGCGATTGCAGCAATAGCAGCAGGGGGGCTGCAGGCAGGGCTTCCTCTGTCCCCAGACCGCTGAGTCAGTGCGGCGCACAGCGCCCCTGGCAGTTCGTTTAAACGCCGAAAACATGCCCGACAGAAACGATCAGGTGACACCCAGGGCTCGCCTCTGGCTCCCAAGCACCCTGCTCCTTCACCAACTTCGGGTTCCGAAAGCCGGGGGCCACCGTGCTGGGGCTTCCCGGGAGGCATCGGAGGAGAGGCCGCCGGAGCGCAGCCTCGGGGGCAGCAGAGGAGGCTGGGGGTGTGCGGGCCGAGGGCCGAGGGCGGAGCGGGGCTGGAGGCTTGGGTTTCGATTGGAGCCGCGGGTCCAGGTGGACTTTCTCAGCCCGGGAAAAGGAAACCGAAAGCGGGCTGGGTCACGTGACGCCCGGCCGCGCGTGTATATCAGCGGGCGCCGGGCTCGGCTCGCAGTTCCGCGCGGACCCAGCGGCCCTCCCCGCGGGCATGGAGTGCCCGTCTTGCCACCACGTCTCCAAAGACGAGGCGCCCAAATTCTGCAGCGAGTGTGGAGTCAGGCTTCCTGCGGTGCCCCCGCCAGGTGAGGCCTCGGGGCAGGCTGGGCCGGGGGACCCCTGGAGGGGCGGCCGGCCACCAGCCTCTCCACGACGATGCCCGTGGCTGGGCGGCAGAGGGGACAAGCGCAGCGGGTCAGGTTGGGGAGGGCGCGGCTTCTGGTTGATTGCAGTCTCATTTCTCAGAGCGGACCGTGAGGAGCCTGTGCCCGTGGGGGACAGCGAGGGGCTGGGCTGGGCTGGGCTGGCTGAGGCGCTGCTGAGCAAAGGAGGCCCCTGGCTGTGGGGTCTGAGGGGTCACGGGGGGGCGGGGGGGAAGGGGCTCCATAGTAGCATGTCATGGGATGCGGGGTAGGGCTCCTAATGGGCTCAGTCTGGTTCAGCCCTGAACCCAGATACATTAAATCAGAACAGAAACTTCAACCTGACCCCGGGCCATCCTGCTGTAGACGCAGAATCTATAAGAATCACCTGGGGTCCTGGGCAGCTGCAGACGGATTCAGTCCATCTGAGGTGGAAAGGCACGTTCCCATAGGGGCTAGACGGGCAGAACCCATTCATCAGGGGCCCTGGTGTGTAGGTGACCGTGAGGGGTCCCTGCAGCCCAGTGGGTGGGCCCCCTGGGGGGACGGGTGGCGTGGTGGTCTCGGGCTCTTCACCTGCTTGGCATCCTGGACCTCAGGGGCTCGCTTCCCACCTTAGGGTCCTTCCTTCCTTCTCTGGGGGGACTTGGTCCTCCCCTAGCTGGGTCACACCCACACCTATCTCTCCTCCTGGGCCACTCCCCTTAGCGCCTGCCTGATCCCCTCCCCCCCCAGCTCCCGGTCCCCCCCCTCCCTGCAAACAGCAACAGGACATGCAGCTGGGCCCACAGCCTCAATCTCCTCGGTGCCCACTCCCTTCCAGCTCCCACAGAACTGACCCAGGACTGACCCCTGCTGCCCACCGCCCTCTGGGCCCCTGAAGAGGCTCCTAGGGGCCTCCCTGCCTTCACCCGGTCCTGCCACTCATATAGCACCGGGGTGTTGTTTGAAAGGAAAACCATGCCTCCTCCTTCCAAGAGTCCCCCACCCCCTCTTTACCCTGAGCAAGAGCTGGGGGTTCTTACAAGCCCCTCCCAGACTGCTCCCCAGTCCCAGTTGCCCTCACCCCTCTACTGCCACAGACCCTTTGCCCACTTAGCTTTCCACCTGGAACAAGGACCCTGGGGCGGCCAGCACTCTGCAGTAAGTGGGGAAGGTCAGCAGTTCGAACTCAGTAGCTGTTCAGAAGGAAGAAGATGTGGCTGTTAGATCTCTCTGGAGCTAGATTTATACCTCGGTCCTTGGCTCCGCGCGAGAAAGAATTCACGCCGAAGCCTCGGTCCTTGGCTCCGCGCGAGAAAGAATTCACGCCGAAGCCTGGTTCGTGATCAAAGTGGGTTTTATGAAAGTTAGAAGAAGTTTCAGGTTTACACGGCACCCAAGGGGCTCCTCCCGGACACACGGCCTAGCTGGAAGCGGCTCTGCGTCCCGCAACGCGTGCCAAAGCTCTCTGCGCCTGAGTTCTCCCTCCTCCGTTTAGGTCCTTCTCCTCCGTTCTAAGTTCTCCTCCCGTCTCTGTTCTCGTCCTTGTTCTCCGATCCCCTCCCCTCCGGGCTTCTGCCTTTTCAAGGATTCCACAGGGAGGCGTGGTGGAAGACCCCTGGTCGACCCCATTGGCTGAATTGAATTTACCTGGCTAGGTGATCCAATTCAAGTTCACGCCCACCCCTGCCTACCGGCGGGAACCCTGAACATGTGCGCTGTGCCACTCCTTTGTTCCCCTAGCTTGGCCCTCTGGGCACGCGTTAATGGGCATCCCCCAGTCCTATGCTGGCCTACCTAACATGGCCATCTGATTCTGTAAAGGTGGCAGCCTTGGGAATCCTAGGGGGCAGTTCTATGAGATCCTTGTGAGCCAGAATCGCCTGGACTTTCCCCCTCTCTGCCCTCTCTCAGGCTCACCCTGACCACTCTGAAAATCAGGGCCAGCCCCTCCCCCGGTGCCCACTGCTCATCTGGCTCCTAGCAGGGGCCTTCAGCAGCGGGAGTCATAGGGCTCTCTCCACCGCGGCACCCAAGTTCCTTGCACAATGCCTGCCACAGGGTACAACAACCCTAACCAGGCCAAACTCGCTGCTGTTGGGGTGCTCCCAGCTCCGAGCGACTCCTTAGGACCCACTAGGACTGTCCCTGTGAGTTCCCGGGAGCAGACAGCCCAGGCTTCCTCCCGGGGTTTCAGTGGGAACTGCTGACCTGGTGTGAACAGCCTGCGGGGGCACCGCTCTGCCCAGGGAGAGTGCCGGCCGCCGCCCGATCTCTCAGAGAGAGGAGAGGAGAGACCGGCCTTACCAGAGCTCCATGCTCACCAGCCCTTGGGGACCCTCAGGTGCCGGGCTAGGGGCGGGGGAGACAGCCCCGTTTCTCTGGTGTCTGCTGCCTTATGGATGAAGTGTACCCTGGGGGCACTGTTCTCTCTAGGAAGTGTGGGTCTCCATTCCCACCTACGGGAGATGAGCGGGGCTTTGGGGAGTGGTCAGGCATGGGGGTCAGCTCGGCCCTGAGCCCCGCTCTCCCGGGTCCCCCGGACACAGAGTCGCTCTCTCTGGCTGTGCTGTCCTCACAGTCCGGTCACTGGCGTGGCTGAGCGCTCAGTGTCCCCCTGGCCCTGCCCCCTTCTCCGAGGGCAAGGTTTGCCGGCTCTCCCGCTGGCCCGTGACCCTTTCCTTTTGCAGAAATGGAAACTGAAACCAAGCTGTGGGGCTGCTGCCGGATGAAGGCATTTCCTCCTCCAGTCCGTAGGCCACAGGCCATGGTGCTGGGGCGGCTCAGGAGTTATGCCTTGAGCACTTAAAATTAGTAATTTTTTTAAAAACATTTTATTAGGGGCTCATAAAACTGTTATCGCAATCCATACACACATCAATTGTGTAAGCGCATTTGTACATCATTCTCAAAACATTTTCTCTCCACTTAAACCCCCGACATTAGGTCCTCATTTTTCCCCTCCCTCCCCGCTCCCCCCTCCCTCATGAGCCCCTGATAGTTTATAAATTGGTATTTTGTCATAGGCTGATCCTCGAGTATATGCGGCATCCTCTCTGCCCTTGGCTCACTGTTTGTCTGTCCCAGCCCCTCCCACATGCGTGCTGGCCGGCTTGCTGGCTCAGTGTGTGGCAGGTGCCTGTCAGCCAGCTGCTGAGAGAAGGCCTGGTGGCCGCACCGTGTGTGTCAGAGGGCTGGGCTCCACAGGCTGGTCCTGGCAGATCGCCAGTCTTGGGATGGATTCAAAGTCCCAAACGCACAAGGTGTAGCGGGACTCTTCCAGCGTGGCTTGCAGGCGCGTGTGCCGTCTGCGCTCAGTGCGCCCCCTGCTTCACCCTCATACCTGCTACCATCCTAGAGTGATCTGTGCTGGGCTGCACATCTGTGCGTGAGCCCAGCCCAAATCAAACAGTGCCATCCGGCTGGTTCTGACTCACCCTGAGCCTCAGAAGGTTTCCTGGGCTGTGGGCCTTTGCCAGAGCAGACGGCCTCATGTGTCTCTCTTGGGCCCATAGGTGGGCTTGAACCGCTAACCTGCCAGTTAGCCCCCCGGGACTTACCTGCCAGCAGCGCACATGAAGGGGGTGTAAAGTGTTCAAATCACTGGCCGTGCCTGGCCACTGTCCCCACCATGCCAGGGTCTGTTTGGAAGGGCCTGCAGGGCAGGGTGTCCCCCCCATGCGAGCCCTTTGCTAGTGCTCTGCCACCTGGTACTTAGGGCTGGCCTTGCCATCACTTAGGTCACTTAGCAGTCTGCTTCCCACCACACACCCCTACACGCTGCCCTGCCCCAACACCCATTCCCCTGCTGTTCCCGCTTTTCCTGGGCCCAGGCCTCCTGGCCAGGGGGGCGGGGCCTGCCTGCACCTTCTCTGGATGCTCCTGCAGGGCTCTCTCCCTGCCATGCCCTCGAGAGGTGGGTGCCCCCAGTCGTGGCCTCTCGCAGGTTCCCCATCAGCCACGGCAGCAGGCGGCTGGGACCTCTTCAGAAGGCCTCTGCCTTCAAATTGCCTGCTGCTCGTCTTTGGGAGGAGTCTGGTGGTGCTGTGGGCTATGTGCTGGGCGGCTAATCACAAGGCTGTGAGATCGAACCCCGCAGCAGCTCCGATGAGGACAGTGAGGCTGTCTGCTCCATAAAGATTCACCCCAGGAGCCCTATCCGGGGCCTCTCAGGTGGAATCAGTCCAAAGGCAGTGTGTTTGGTTTGGTTTGGTGTGGAATGCCGGCGTGCTTGCTGATCTTGCTGACGGTAACCTCACACCCAAGCTGCTCAGTGCTCGGCAGAAGCACCTCGTGGGGCTTCAGGTGCCGTGTGCTCAGGGCTCTCACTATATCTCTGCACCCACCAGAACTGTCCTTCACCTGCCGGTGGAGGCACAGTGGGGCCCCAGCCTCAAATGTCAGGTCTGTGGGTACCCTAAGAGGTGGAGGGGGTAGATACCTCCAAAATCCTGAGGCCCATCCATCCTCGGTGAAGGGTGGGGTTGGGAGATACGGGGTTCTGAATAGATTAAACTGATCAGGTCTCACCCTCCAGCTGGAGTGGAGACCCTGGGCTGCCGTGCCCTGCATTCTTGTGGGTGGGTAGGTGGACGTCTTAATCCTGAATCCTGTTCATGAGCTTCCCTCGGCACCTGTTTCCTGAGCACTTTGTATATCCTTCTCAGGGGGCCCAGAGGGAGAAAGCAGCTGGAATTGACCAGATTGGGGGGAGCTGTAAGTGCCTGGGGCTAGGGTGCACCCTGGGGACCCCTCCCCCTTGGAAGAAGGCCTTGAAGACCAGGCCTAAAAAGACAACAGCTCATGCCAGCCCCAGGGACAGGCTTGGGAGAGGCTTCTAACGCAGACCCTGACGAACGCAGGGCCCTGGAGGGCTTTCCTCAGCCGAGGGGTGGCGGTCTGTTTTCGTAAAGGGGGTTGCTGCCCATCCATGACCATGAGTTAAGGTCCAGAGGGGCTGCTGGGTCAAGTGGACATGTAGAGTGACCACTGAGGGGTATCTAGACAGCTGCTCTAGGCAGCAGTGGATTGGTGACTAGCCTGGGGGTGGATGAGTGTGGCAACTCTCGAAGCCCTGAGCCACTGCCAGGGATGCTGGCATTGGGGTGCAGACACTGAGGGAGACAGCCTTGCTGGCAGGGGTAGGGGGTGAAGAGTTCACTTTTGGAGCCTCGGTTCCCCTCCCTCACTCGGGGCTGGACTCCAGGCTGGGAGGTCTCTCAGTTCACCTCTTGTGTCCTGGGGCCCCCAGGCCACTGTGCTCTCTGCAGGAAGGAGGTCACCCACTGAGAATGGACTTCCCCTTGATCCTGAGACCTGACCTTCCCTTGTCCACTCAGGTCCTGAGGTACACAGCGCTGAGCTGCTGCCTGCTCCGGACGGGGAAATGGAGTGTGGGCAGGAGCTGAAGGAAGGTGGTGGCTCGTTCTTGTCCCTGGGGCCAGCCGACCAGCCCGAGGACCCAGACCAGTCCTGTACAGATGTGTCCTGGGCCACCCAGCAGGTGAGTGGATGGGGAGCGTGGGGAAGCCAAGGCTGCCTCCCTCTGCTGGGCAGTGGATTCCTGGTGCCATTTCATCAGCAGCTGAGCAGGGTTGGCCCTGTCCACCTGGACTGCCCCATGTCCCCAGTGTTCCTCCAGGACAGCCGCAGCTTGCCGATGCTACCCCTCTGCACAGGTGTATCAAGGCCCCTCGTCCGGTGCTGCCTCGTGGGGAGCTGGCTGTTTTGTGGGTCTCTCCGCTTTGGTGGTGGTGCCTGAGGGGCCCACCACTGCAGACACAGGCCACACTGGGAAGTGTTGCAGCTGCAGACACAGCATGTGGGGGAGTGTTGCAGCTGCAGGCCTGGGACATGCGGGCTGTGGCCACAGATACTTCATCCCTGGGGACTGAGAGGTCCTCTTCTGCTCCCTGGGATCTCAGACGACCCCTTGCCCTCCTCAGCCCAGCAGAATGTCTGGGACAATGAGGGGGAGGGAGCCCCCGGTGAGATTCCCGGGGGCGGTTCCGGGACGTTTCTGGGGAGAGGGGTGGAAACCGTGGTGGTGAGGAGCCCTCTGTGTTGTTAAGACCCAGGTGGTTGACTGTGGCCCCTGGACTTCTTGCCCGACACTGAGCTGGGTGTTGCCCTCTGGCCTGTGTGGGCTGCTTGTGCCTGGCCCACAGCCACTCTTCTGGAGGGTGCTTTGCTGTCCATGACCGGAGACGCAGAGGAACGAGAAGCACACGGAATGAATCTGTAAAAAAGCAGAGGGCTGCAGCTCGCTCAGGCATATAGCAAGGAACTGAGCTGTGTCCTATTTATTCGTGTTCAAGTGTAGGAACACGTGACTGGCTACATTGACTCAAATTGTTTTTAAGTCTAAAAAATGACTTTCTCAAAACTACATTAGCTCAGAAACTGTAAAGATACAATCTATAAAGCAAAGAACAGGACCAAACAAGCTCTAGGAACCACACACACACAGGAGGGTTTGCATTTCCTTGAGAACCAACATGCTCCGACTGCAGAACACGCTGACCCAAATGTGCATCTTTCAAGCCTTGATTTGTATCCAAGTTCTAGCCATAGTCCGGCTGCATTTCCCCCTTTTTTATAGCATCCAGATGCAGGGAAAACTCAGCGGCAGCATTTCCCCTTCTATGGTTCTTTGTTTGTCGAGGATTTTTCTGCAGACTACATAAAAGACAAACAGACACAAGTGATAAGCAAAAGCAGCCCTGCAAATGAGCCAGATATAGCTTTTAGAGGGGATTGGTGATCAGCATCCCGTATAAGATACTGTAGTTGCAAACTATCCTGTGATAGATTGTGGTAATTCAATAGATGTCTTTGAACATGATCCCAAGGCAACAGAGTGTCATTATAAATCACAGGAGTAACACATATGGACGTATGATTCCAATCACATTGTAATGTAATTTGTTGCTTAATACTATTAATCTGGCCTCCCAGGATAACCGTTTGAGATAAATCATGAATTTGCTGATCAAGATGTTATCGGTGGACCACAAAAGCTCAGAATTTTCATGCCAATCATCTACGATCGTAGCGGCTTGTACAGACTGATGCAAAGCTAATCCTGCAGTAGTAGCAGTAACTGCAATAATTCCCAGGATTGTAGCTATTAAGATCCCCCCAAATCACTTTGATCTTCTCAAAAGTCATTTAGCCAATTTGTCAATTAAAGCTAAAGTAGGAGAACTTTGCTATTGTTGAGACAGTTGAGTAGGCATCCATATTCTGACTCTAGCCCTCAAACTATATATGCTTTCACTACTATGATGAAGAGAAATAGAAGAATTGAAACAAGTAAAAAAAGAACAATGATTACAATTAATTTCTCCAGAGGAGTGATTCCAATGGACAGATCCTTTCATGAAAAGATATGCACACAAGCTTGGACATACCGGGCTGTAGTAACTGTGAAGGACAAGGTGTAATTTCCTGTGTGGTTAGTACTGTTGCCAATCCATCCTCTACTAGGGGACACGGCAGCGCCTATTTTCCATAAGTGAGTTTGAATGGGTTTTCCTATCATATGAGGGCTGGGAGGAGAAACTCCTCCTCCAGGCCAAAAAAGAGGCTCTGATGCCTGCGTGTCAGTGGTGTGGTGATGCGAATGCCATTGAAGGTCAGCTGCACTAGATTTGACACCGGAAGGGCTCCGATCAGTGACAAGTGCTTGGGAATTATTAACCAACACTCGGGCCTGTTCTCTGCAAGTGCTCCAATGGACCCAATCAGACAAGTGCACATAGGTTGGCGATCGACATGGGGGCAACGGAGGGACAGAAACATTTCCTGTTATATTTAAATTGGAAAACCCTTGAGCACTTAAAATTAGTAATTTTT